GAACACAAATCGATAGGCCACGTTCTGGACGCCCACGTGTAACAACGCCAAGACAGGACATATGGATAAGGGTGACCCATCTTCGCCACAGGTTTCAGACTGCAGTGATGACTGCCCGAACCATCCCAGGACTTCGCCGTATCCACCCCAACACAGTTCGACAACGTTTACGTCATCACGGGATCAGACCACGACGTCCCGCCATACGGCCTATCCTGACACAACGTCATCGACAAGCTCGCCGAATGTGGTGCCGAAATCATGTCCGCAGACCCTTGTTTTGGTGGAGAAATGTTTTTACAGATGAGTCCAGGTTTAACATTTCCCATAGTGATGGACGTCAACGTGCCTATAGACGCTTGGAGAACGTTATGCACAGGCCTGTGTCTTGGAGAGGAATCGCTTTGGTGGTGGTTCCGTGATGATTTGGGGTGGAATTACAGCACGCCAAAGAACTCCTTTGGTGATTGTTCAGGGCAACTTAACTGGTGTGGGCTACAGGGATCAGATTCTTCGACCTGTGGCAATTCCTTTTCTGCAACGTCATGGCCCTGGGTTAACATTCCAACAGGACAATGCCCGCCCTCATAAGGCAAGGGTTGCTATGGATTTCTTGCAACACCACAACGTTGACTTACTGCCTTGGCCTGCAAATTCACCGGATCTCTTCCCGATAGAGCATGTTTGGGACGAGATGGATCGACGTCTACGCCGTCTTCCTCGTCCGCCAGATAACGTCCTAACTTCGCAACAGAACTTGAGAGAATCTGGCGTGACATCCCACAAGCCTTCCTTGCATGTTTGATAGGCTCTATGCGTCGTCGATGCACTGCTGTTCTCAATGCCGATGGTGGACATACCCGTTATTGAGCTTGTGACATGGTCGTTTGACCCCTGTCCCGCTTGTGGACTCGTGACGTCATTGTGAGTGACTTTTCAATTGAAATTCTCCCAACTTGTTATGGTCTCATGATCCCTCCATTAAAGTTTATATGTACCTTTGACATTGTTATCGTACTTATCAACTGGGATGATATTTTGACAATGCAGTTTCTTTATGTGCCTAGTATATATATATATATATATATATATATATATATATATATATATATATATATATATTTGCACAACTTTGATTTGGAATTGTTTTAATTTCGGTCTTGGCCTAAGAGTTCATCTAAAACGTTTGTGATTTTGAAATATGATGTTATGAACTTTGCCTAGAGTCTTATGCCCAGAAGGCGGTGGCTCATGGGCCAATCTGGTGGTTGTCAAGGAGGCCAAGCTCTTGGGTCTAATTTTCGACTCCCATTTAACTTTTCTGCCGCATATTAAATCCCTTAAAAATAAATGCCTGAAGGCACTGGATTTATTGAAAGTAGTTTCTAATTCAAAGAGGGAAGGGGACCAAACTACCCTCCTACACCTGTATAGATCATTGGTCCGCTCGAAGCTTGATTATGGCTCCATCGTATATGGTGGAGCCTGCAAAAGCAACTTAAAACTATTAGATTCTGTCCACCACCAAGGTCTGAGACTTTGTCATGAATCATTCAGAACATCTCCTGGTGACAGTCTCTACGTCGAGTCCGATTAACCTTCTCTTGCACAAAGCCGTATCCAATTATCATTACAATATATTACCAACTATATTCTAACGAGTCTAATCCTGCATTTCACTGTATCTTTAAACCTCTTTATGAGAATTTGTACCACAGGAAATCTTCTCTTTTTCTGCCTCTTGGGCTCATGACTGAGCCATTCATTACTGCTGCCGGCATTGAGCTGGAAAATATGTCTCCTTCACGTCTTCTTTCTTCTCCTCCATGGCAATTGGTGAGGCCACAAGTCGACGTAACACTCACTACATTTAAAAAATTAGAAACTAACGAATTACAATATAAACAAGAATATAATCAATTAAAAAGTAAATATAATACATATAAATCCTTATTTACAGATGGGTCCAAGGATGGTGGCGCAGTAGCTTGTGCCACTGTCATTGGGTCCAAAACAATATATTCCAGATTACCCAATGACAGTTCAATTTTCACAGCAGAAGCAAACGCAATACTAACAGCACTAAAATATATTAATAAACACCGTAAATATAAACAGTATATAATCTTTTCCGATTCTCTTTCGTGTCTTCAGGCTATTAAAAATATTTCTTGTAAACATCCACTTTTAATAGAAATTATTGAATTATATAATGAGCTTGCTACTGGCCAATGCGACATCGTCTTTTGTTGGTTACCCAGCCACGTTGGCATTTCTGGGAACACAATGGCCGATCTTGCTGCCAAGGCAGCGCTCAACAAATCTGTGACACCACTTCTTATTCCATACTCTGATTGCAAAGCTAGCATTAGAACTTACATCCGTGATCTGATGCAAAAGAAGTGGGACACCCAAGTAGGTATTAATAAATTGCATGAAATAAAACCCTATATTGGTTACACCTACTTGGGTTGTCAGTCCAGATTTGAAGAGGTCATCATGCGACGATGTCGCATTGGCCATACAAGGTATGCTCATGAATACATGTTAAAAGGTGAGGATCCTCCGTTTTGTATCCCTTGTGATGAAAGAATCACATTCAAACATGTCTTGCTTGACTGTATTGATTTTGCCATCAGGGATAAATATTTTAATGTCAAAACAGTGAAGGATCTTTTTAGTGTTAATTATCATTTAATCATTGAATTTTTAAAAGAAATAGAATTGCTAGATAAATTTTGATGAATAGTTTGTAAATAGATATGTATTTTACACTAACAAGTGAAAAGTTTTTGAAGATTAAAACCTGCCGACGATGGACAGTAAAAATACCAGAGAATCACAGATATGAATATAAAACTAGCAAGCAAAGGTAAAACATTCCAGTTAAAGAAGACAATACAATATATAACACGGGCTATAGATCGCCAACATATGAAGGTAGATCACCATACTAGGAACCATGGCAAGTGATCAATAGGACAAACAGACCAGAACAAGATATACCATCACAAAAAAAACAGTCTTGAGCTCCCAAGTTCGGACCTCAGGTCGTCCCACGTTGCGGCGATTGACAACTAGGTAGCAGATCGACATGCACAGAGCAGTCTAGACGTCCCCAAGTGTGTGGGATAACTGGCAACGTCCAGCTATAACGTAATCGCGCGGATGTCGGAGAGGTGATACCCGACGCGAGGTGAAAGTTGACATCTAGCCTCTGACCAGCAAAGAAGTGTGCTAATACTTGGGTACGTAAACGACTCTAACTAACTTATAAGCATATGACCAGTGAAGGGGAATACACGTATAAGAAGGGATTGAGCTCTACTACAAATAGATATAGGTGGACATTGAGACAATGGTTTGTACAATTTTGTAGTTAGCAAAAACCCTGATAAAATAAGGGGTATACATAAAGTATGGAGCGGCATAAATGCTTATATCTCCCTTATAAAAACAGATACAGCGACGGCGGTCACATGTACAAAAAGCTAGTAAACTCCTCTACAAGAGGGTACATACATAGGTGTTAAAAGATGTTAATTACAATGCATAACAAGTAAAAACTGGTAACAAGGGACGCACAGCTCAATTAGATGAGCTGAATAAACAAATGCACAGGCACTTTCGACCATGTTAAATAACACACACGCGAGTCGTGTGTCAATCTGGTTTACTCCCAAAAGTTAGACGTCCCAAAAGTCATACATCCCAATTGTCAGACAAATCAATCAGGCGTGACTGTGATAACAACCTAGTCTTACCCACTGATATAATGAACCTGTCCCATACACTAACGGGATGGTTTTCACATTTGTACCGAAATGCTTTGATCAGAATACTAATGTTGACTATAGATTATAGATTTAGCATGCTTGTTTTTACGATGTTCACTTTGATCAAAACAGGGTTATATTATGTTTTTGAGTTTTCATTAACCTAATGGAGTTACGTCCTTCCTAACATTGTTTTTCCAACATAAACAATATAAAATGAAGTACCGGGTGTGGGGTAAACAACAAACGCTGGCTGGTCTTCAGAGAGTAGAATACGTGACGTCACAGAAGGGTACTACTCAGGTATTCCTTCAAGGCTACACATACACCAAGTACAGAGTCAGGGGAGAGTTTGTTCAATGGCATTGTGCCGTCAAGACGTGCTCAGGGATGTGCACTAGCACGGGCGACTTCATCGTGAATGTGGCTGGTACACACTCACACCCACCAAGAGACAGCGCCCCTGTAAGGTTCCTCAGTAGGTTGAGAAAGAGGACAAGAGAAGAGACTACACCTGTTCATCTACATCGATGAGATCGCTCGATTGTCAGCTGATGTTGCACCCAACATGCCTTCTTTCTACAGTGTCAGTAGTACACTTTACGGACACAGGCAAACATCCATACCCGCCCTTCCGCAGAGTCGACTTGATGTCAACCTAGAAGGACCCTTTTTTCGAAAAAACTAGGTTTTTCACTATTTCTGACTTAAGTTTTGAGATTTTACTCAAGTCATATTCATGAAGCAACTTAATAGACTTAAGTTTTGGCTATTTCTGACTTAAATCTTAAGACTGGGCAGGGGTAGGCTTAACTGGAAGGTGTTTGACTTAAATCAGTAAACAATATAGCTGCCGTAGCGCTGAGGCGTCGTTTATTTAACCAAAGAAGGCAAAGTCTCGTTGAATACAGCGATGAAGAATTAATTCGGAGATACCGTCTAGATGGGAATGGCATTAGATTCGTCGCCAGTCTAATAGCGCCAGACGTAGAGCCCACAACCACCCGTAACCACGCACTGGATGCCTCACAAAAGACGCTCATCACACTGAGGTACTTTGCCACCGGAAAATTTCAGTTGTGCAATGCGGACGATCAAGGTGTCAGCCAGCCAACCATTTCCAGATCTGTGAATGACTGCATACGGAGTTTGTCATCTAACAGGATTGTCAAACAGTTCGTTCGCTTCCCCCTACAACTTCGTGACATCAGGCGTCACGAGACCAACTTTTATCAGATTGCAAACTTTCCCGGAGTTGTGGGGGTGATCGACGGAACGCACGTTCAGATTCAAGCCCCAACAGTAAACGAAAATGAGTTTGTAAACCGGCATCACTACCACAGCATCAATACACAGATCGCTTTCGAAAGCGAAGACAGGATAATTGACGTTGTCGCTCGGTAGCCTGGATCGACACACGATTCACGCATATTGACCAACAGCCGTCTCTACCAGTTGTTCGACCGGAATGTTGTCCCCATCGGATGTCACCTTCTCGGTGACAGTGGTTACCCCTGTAAGAAGTGTCTACTAACCCCTTTCCTAAGACCATTGGCAGGATCACAAACAAACTACAACAGGTATGTAAACTTCCGTGTAAAGTTGCCGATTGTGATCAGCAACATAGAATGGTTTCCCTTGAGTGAATGAGTGAGTTAATATTTAACGTCACATCGGCAATATTTCACCCATATTAACCTCGAATAAAGATTGAGCAGTCGTGCTCATTACACATTATAGATCACAAACGTTATTACATTTAGTCTGGATAACCGAAGCAAAATACAGTTTTCATAAAATACGAATTCTGTAATCAGGTTGTAGACTTTTTAAATATGCTGAATATTACTTGAAATTATTTTCTTAAAACATCATAAACCACCTAAATAATCTATGTAAGTGTTACTGTATTATTATTTATTTTTCAGAGTTATTTACTGAATAAGTGGCAGTTAACCCCGACAACACAAACTGTTGTTTACTGTTTACTGTGCTGGAGATTTATGTACAGGTTACTCTATGATATTTTATTTCATAACCCAGATCGCATAAAAGAACAAGGAGCAGTGTTGAGAGGGCCATTGGCCAATTCAAGCGCAGATTTCCTGTTCTTCATGGGGAAATCAGGTTAAAACCTGAGAAGGCTTGCAAGGTAAGAAAAATATAATCAACAACAGTTATTTCTTTAGCACTGTTTACCTGCCACATAAATAATACAAATAAATTGACAAGGTAACAAAGCTAAATGGCAACAATATGATTAAGAAATTACAATTTTGCAAAATGTATGAATCACTGAAACTATGCAACTATATTATATATAACTATATATCACGAATTTGATATGGGTTGTCATGAATTTCTATTTACTGATGCCATTGAAAATATGTAAAAGACAAGACAGAAGTTCATCATCTCAAAATGTATACTGCATGGCCATGTCTATACTGACTTTTGTATCTAAATTATTCCATATTTCAGGTGATCATAGCATGTGCTGTCCTTCACAACATATGCAAGGACAGGAACATTCCATTACCACCCACAGATGGGCATGATGGATTTGGAAGGCATGATGAGCAGAATGGAGGTCTACCAGGAATCACTCCACCAGTGGCTGCACTGAGATATAGGGAGCATTTTGCCAATACAAACTTTCCATGTAAGATGATTTTAGAATCTTATATCATAGTGTCAGAGTTAGAACTATACATGGTAGATTATGTTATTACATTTAATACAGACAATCCTCCCCAAAACAAAATTCAGTTTTATCACTCATACCATTAATACATTCTACACAATAGCTTTATTTAATTGTAATATTGTATATTCCCTCATCTTCCTAACTATGTACTATTGACAATTTATTTTTATTTGACTAAAGGTCCCACAATAATTTTTCTAACAGAATCTGTTTTTTCCTTATATTAGACAGAGAATGATATATGACACTTAATACTCAAATATGTAAATATTTCTGATATTCAGCAAGTACATTTATGGCAGTTTAAGTTAATTCAGTTTCATGATTTTATGTTTTAGGTATTCCTTTTTCAATGTGAGACATTCTATTTCCAGCTGCAATTTCTGTTTTAACAGAGCTTCCACTGTGTGGCATCCTGGAGCATCTGGATGGACTGCTGGCTCCTCAGGACCCATTCTGGCTCCCTCTGGCTGTGGATTGGGGTCACATATGGCTGCATAAATCTGTCTAAAAATATAATGATAGAAATGTGCTTGTAATTTTCATATAAATGTTCTTTCAATTTTAACAAGCCTATTGTTTTGTGTTATTACAATTAGATAAAAACATCAATAGCAGTTGTTCATTACATATATTAATCATGACAGACAGTGCAGTTAAAGCATACCAAAAATATTTGTATGTATGAAGACATTTATGAACAAAAGTGAGGTGATGATATTCTAACCAAAAGGTAACTCATGTCATTCATATTTACCCGTCATCGGTTGGTACCAAGTCAAGTACCTGCAGCATTGTTGAGTCGACTGACCCAGGCACACCTGTTAGTGCCACATTGTCCTGGCCTAAAATGTCAATGACAGCATCGGTCACTGGGCTGATCGGTGTTGGTGCTGGTCCACCTCCTGCATTAAAATTTGATCACAATCATTAATTTGATTTCTTTTATTTAAAATAACTTCATATATATGTTCATTGGAATACGACAATCACTATTCCATTCAGGATCACATTTTTTTAAATATTACCCTCCATACAAGAAATACAACAACAAAAACACAGATAAGATTGATTCTGATTATTGATCCATCAGATTATTGATCCATCAGTATTAACTTATTTGTTAAGACAATTGGCAGAAGACTGATAGTTATCATTTAATACCTGTGACTCATATAAAGGATATATGAACTGAAGAAAAGTACTTGCCTGTTCCTCTAGTCATTCTGCTTAACTCAGAATATTTCTGTTTTGATTGGCTCTTTATCGTCTTCCACTTTTTTTCTACCTCTTCTTTAGATCTGGGATGCAGACCAGCGGAGTTGATGGTTGCTGTAATAACCTGTTGAGTTGAATGAAAACTGTCAACCTTTATTATGATATACATATGTTACAATCTGCTTATGAATTACTATGTCATAACCATAACATGTTAGAAATCAACTATATGTTTTATGATTGTGGACAAATAAGCGTCAGAGCATTTGGGAGAAAGGGTATTCTTATAAAGTAGGATTTCCTAATTTTTAATTTTCCATATATTCTTGAAATCAATTGTTCTCAAGCTTAATAATCGATTCCACACTTATGATGATAATACTTTAAAATATATCTCTCAAAGCTTTCATATTTAGTCCCAAGTCTGCAGCAAGTGAATTGTTAGTAAACAAAACATAGGAAATTTTACAAATATTCCTGACACTACATGCTGTAGCCTCATCAAACTATTTATTTGTATGAGGTCATGTTCGCTTAAAAAACTTTTTCGTTCATACATGTTCCTTTCCTTCGTGGTGTGACCTCGGCTAATCATCACCTACACTCACTACATTTTCCCAGTGTTTGATGCATTTTTGGTTGTTTCATAGGCGTACCAATGTAATGCAGAAAAGAGAAGAGAAAATCGTACATATTCACGGCTTACATATAATTAAAAACAAATGAAAACTATGCGTAACACGTAGTCTAAGACATTTCTGTATTCTTGACTATGTACAGTTTGACAGTCGGACCCAATGTTTACATTACCTGCCACGCCTCTTGCCGCTTCGCCGATGTCACGCTCGGACCAAACTTCCCTTCCAACACACTGGCGTTTGTTTTGACGAGTTCTGTCAAAAGCAGGACATCGTCTTTGTTCCAGTTGGGTTTTCTCTTCTTTATCTCAGCCTCCGACATATTTGTCACAATGTATTACCGCGGTACCTCGATGTGTCGTCTGTCGTAAACAGCAAATAGCAAATGTTAAACACATGCATTGCAACCAGTCAATTGAATTTGAAAAGTGTTTTAAATTCCCAAACTTGTGCGTGGTTCCTGGGCTAGGCCATTTAGAAATGAATATGGTAAAGGCATTATTCAAACTGCTGTGGAAGCCATTTTTCAAACATATAGCCATTTTGAATGGTTTCCGATCACCAAATGCTTTAAAGTTTGCTGAATCATGCACAAACCATCATATATCATGGCAGTTCATCATGATCTTTCTTTTTGGAAGTTTAGACGAATTCATTACTCCCTTCATTCGTCAAGATGTACACAATACCTCACTTCTGAATGCATCTACCTTCCTGGAGAACATGAAAGAAACTAACAATCCAAATCACAAGTTCCTATGGAATGTCTTGTTGAAATTTGTGATCCCATTGTTCGTATTCCGGTCAGCAGTGCGCCGCAACAACCCTGCTCTCATATTGGCATCCAAACATGTAATGAGTAATCTGTTTTACGGCATGAACAACACAACATATCAACAGATAATGTTCCGAGACGAGACTCTGCGATGTTTAGCACCTCCAGAGGTATTGAAACATATTCAAGAATGTGAAGTAGTTTCACAGTCCAGACACAAGAGCAAAGGAGAGGGGGGAGACTTTGTCTTGGAGTCTTGGAACCGACGTATAAAGATGTGGATACCTCCGGGGGTACCAAGTCAGCAGACATGGAGGCGTAGTTGTCGCGAGTAGAGACTCGAGGAGGTATAATTTTCCAACCTAGGTCCTCAATACTGATGCGTTATTCATAGAATGATCCTATATTCATCCATGGTTTTATTTCTATCTGATGTCTCGCCATGCGGTATGAGAACTGCAGTTTTTCCGCCCGTACGGTGCGCTAAGATCTGTTATAATACAAAACTCATTCACTTTCTAATACCATTGTTGAATGACTAACGAAAAACTGAAAAAAACTGGGTTTGAAGTTGTCACTGCTTGGTGTATTTTGGCGGAACAAGTCTTATCTGTGTTATATCTGATTCAATCCTTAGGCTTTAAATATCCTAATTTCGCATTACAAATCAACACAAGTCGTGACCAAACTAACAGAGTAAGGGGTTATTTTATACACCTTCCATAAATTGATATAAGAATAAATAAATATAACACGATTTAGTTTCATTTATTCATGTAAAGGATTGTGCGCTGGGCAGTACATTTTCAATGGTTTTAAATTCCTGGATGATAATATGTGGATTCCCATACATGAAATATGACACCAATAAGTGCACGTTGTGTCACTCTCATGATCACACCTTATCCACTCCTTGAGGCGTGGGTCGGATGTGCCATACTGTACATGACACAACGGGCACTTATAAGTGTCACTTTTCTCATCTTTCTTTTTGAGAACCGACTTTCTACAGCGCCTTGTACTGTTTTTATTGCCTTCCTTCGACGATGATGTTTCAGGATTCTCCAAAATAGGTACCTGGATTTGTGGAAGTTCATCAGTTGTAGACGTTGTTTCAGGAGGCGTTGGGTTAGGCTGGTTTATTATGTGGATAGGGGGAGGGATGGTAACACTTTTGGTGTGTAAAGGCTGCGCTCCTTCTGGTTCCTGTAATTATAGCAAATTATATAAGTATGATATATCTGTATTGCTCAATTGTTATAATTAAACACCCTTACATTTATTTATTACACATACATACCCCATACTTTCCTTGAAACATTGGGGTAGCCAAGTGGTTGTGAGCTCCTCCACCTTCTGCACAGAATTCAAAATAGATTTCGGCTTCAGTCACTGTCACAAATTGTTGAATCTATACAATGAATGGTCATTTTCTTTCTGAGGACAAAACATGCTAAATATATTGGTTATTGTATGTTACAATGATAAATATATACGTGTTGTGGGAATAGAATATAAATTCTTATTTAAAGTTCATTATTTTCCATGTAGATGCGGAAACTGTATACAAGGAGATAGGAATCCATGACGTAGATTCCTTTTCCACCATGACAACAAGGACTATGGCCCCCGAAATCATGGGATGGCGTTGTTGGTTGCGCTCCGTGAACTATTTGGCTGACCCACTCAAAGATGGCATTCATACAGGTAATAGTATAAAGGATGATATGACCATTAATATAAGTAATTGTCAATATGGTTTATATGGTCCAAGTATGCGGTTAATATACGGTTAATAGATCTTACGTTGGAAGTCAATACAAATCATTAATAAAAAGTCTTTAATTCATGATACATTTAGTAAATTTTTTCGCTTTTCATACAGGAAATGAAATTCATTAATGTTCTGTGAATTATAGGTCTTGATCCAACCATGGTTCTGGACAAGGAATTGGTTCACTGTGTGGATTTGTTTAAGCAAAACAGAGCTTAATACAGGTATATTAATATATTGGTTTTGGGTCAATGATATATTTACTTCAAATAAGCTAAAATAATAAGGAATGAAATATGTTGGAACATGTAATTACCATTGCATTTGCAAGTAATAATGGGACCCATTAAAGAAAGCAATAATGTAACGTTGTAATTTTTCTCATATTGTCGGCCCTCGCACGAACAACAGCCTGGAAGGCTTCCACAGTAGATTAAAAAAGGCACTCCACATCACCATCCTAGCATCTACCGATTGTAGAGATCATCCAGAAGATTGAGATCGCAGAGAGAGCCAAACTCCAGCAGATCAAGGTTGGTGTTGCTCCCCCAAAAGAGGAAGAGTGTCTACATATTGGGAGCCTGAGAACAGGCTGATGCATCAGCAAGAGAGACTGCATGCAGGAGGGATGACAAGCATAGAGTTTCTCGATGCAGTTGGGCATTTGCTCAGACTTGGTTGACATTCTTGCCTGTATAGTGAATGACGTCAAAGATGTGAAATCTTAAATCTTGAATGATTTAATTTAGATTATCTTGTTTAATTAATTTATTCAGTTTTTATGCCAATTCAAAGTCATTACAAAGTCAACCATTGATCATTTAAATTATCTTGTTGAATTAACTTATTTTGTTGTATGTTTCAAATAAATGTCACTGTCATTATCCATAATCTCTTCGCTTTGTGTTTGGATTAGTAACTGATTATGAATCGAACACTTTATGATTTGCAGGATATTGCTACTAAGGCCAGGATATAGAGGATATTATATGAGTGCCCATGTCATACTGTGTTTACGACATGAGTGCCTAAATGTTGGTATTTCCCGAGCGTGAGCGAGGGATTTGCCGATATTTAGGCACGAGCGTTGTAAACATAGTATGATTTGGGCACGAATATAATATTCTGTTTATTACTGAAGTCCTCACTGTTGCAGACATAACAACAAGGTTTGTTCATTCTTGTACACGACGTTTTACTTCCTTTTTATCATGATTATATACACCGCAGTGTTCATTGCTTCTTGCATTCCTCCATATTGCCGGTTGTCGGTTCAAGCTAAAACATGATGGAAACATTTTCTACTAACTTCACAGTACTAAATACCATTGAAAAATATTCCTCCAAGTTACAGAATAAATGTTACTCGGTAAATAAAATATCCTCGGATTATGGTTTTGTGGATGAAATACACTTACTTTGGCTCTAGTTGCCAGAAACAAACATTACAAATACTTGTGTAATGCAACATGTCAAACGTGGAAAATTGTGATTGATAAAGTCATGACAAGGTGTGAAATTGTTTCTGCAAGAACAACAGAAATTCCTACACTTCCAAAAACCCAAAACATGAGGATACTGTTCACTTATAACAGTCAAGCAAAAAATAACATAAAACGTGACACTATTTTAGGCCAACCCACGTGTTCCTAACCTGGAAATAACTGCACATTTATGGCTTAATTTAACATGTTTAAGTGTATTATGTAACTGTAATACATATATATTGCGTACTACATGATTTGTAACTACAAAATTGTACTTACAAAATTTGTAAACCCATCAAACTGTCTACACATCTTGTTGTCAACTTCACCACCGCGAAGCACATGGCCAACCACAGTTCCCACTTTTGGAGTTACCTCCCTTGCCCCCTTGGGCATAAAAAATGTGGATCGCAATCCGGAAAAATTAAATCTTTCAGTTACACGCACATTGAGGAAAATAAACCCAAATCTACTCTCATACTGGCATCCAAACATGTAATGAGTAATCTGTTTGACGGCATGAACAACACAACATATCAACAGATAATGTTCCGAGACGAGACTCTGCGATGTTTAGCACCTCCAGAGGTATTGAAACATATTCAAGAATGTGAAGTAGTTTCACAGTCCAGACACAAGAGCAAAGGAGAGGGGGGAGACTTTGTCTTGGAGTCTTGGAACCGACGTATAAAGATGTGGATACCTGCGGGGGTACCAAGTGAGCAGACATGGAGGCGTAGTTGTCGCAATCTCGAGAGACTCGAGGAGGTATAATTTTCCAACCTAGGTCCTCAATACTGATGCGTTATTCATAGAATGATCCTATATTCATCCATGGTTTTATTTCTATCTGATGTCTCGCCATGCGGTATGAGAACTGCAGTTTTTCCGCCCGTACGGTGCGCTAAGATCTGTTATAATACAAAACTCATTTACTTTCTAATACCATTGTTGAATGACTAACGAAAAACTGAAAAAAACTGGGTTTGAAGTTGTCACTGCTTGGTGTATTTTAGCGGAACAAGTCTTATCTGTGTAATATCTGATTCAATCCTTAGGCTTTAAATATCCTAATTTCGCATTACAAATCAACACAAGTCGTGACCAAACTAACAGTGTAAGGGGTTATTTTATACACCTTCCATAAATTGATACATGTATAAGAATAAATAAATATAACACGATTTAGTTTCATTTATTCATGTTTAATGGATTGTGTGCTGGGCAGTACATTTTCAATGGTTTTAAATTCCTGGATGATAATATGTGGATTCCCATACATGAAATATGACACCAATAAGTGCACGTTGTGTCACTCTCATAATCACACCCTATCCACTCCTTGAGGCGTGGGTCGGATGTGCCATACTGTACATGACACAACGGGCACTTATAAGTGTCACTTTTCTCATCTTTCTTTTTGAGAACCGACTTTCTACAGCGCCTTGTACTGTTTTTATTGCCTTCCTTCGACGATGATGTTTCAGTGAGTGAGTGAGTGAGTGAGTTAATATTTAACGTCACATCGGCAATATTTCAGCCATATCGTGACGAGAACATTTGACATTTAAATAGAATGATATTGAAGTGAAAAATATGTATATTATAAAAAAACCTGCCAACGAAGGGCAGTAAAACAACTAGAATATCACATATACAGATAAAACTAGTAATAGAGTTTAAAACATTTTAACCACAGGGGACAACACAATATAAAAATGAGCTATAGATCACCAACAACTGAAAGTAGGTCACCATACTAGGGTCCATGGGGACTTACAGTACCTTGCTACCTGCATGGACCCTAGTCGGATTTACACCATCCCTTCAACCGCTGGTGATTGTAGGATAATTTAGCCAAAATCTAAATGAACGAAAATACTACGTTTAAAACTTGGTATGTGAAAATTCTACTTTTGAAGTTTTGGGACTTACATACCCCATCAGGAGGACAATAATTTTACGCTACTTCAACCCCCTTTGAGGGTACAGCCACTAACAATCTAAGTTACTAATCTAAACTACCAATCATTAAAATACATCTATCTACAGAACATGTTAATCAGAATTCATCAATGAAGTCAATTTCTTTTAAAAAACCAATAACTAAATGAGAATTAACAGTAGTAAAAAGATCCTTAAGTGTTTTTACACTGAAATACTTATCCCTTATGATGGAGAATTCAACACAGTCAAGCAGGATATGCTTGACCGTAACTCTCTCATCACAAGGGATACAAAACGGAGGATCTTCACCATTTAGCAAGTATTTATGAGTATAACGTGTATGGCCAATGCGACATCGTCGCATAATGACCTCTTGAAATCTGGACTGGCAACCCAAGTAGGTATAACCAATGGTTGGTTTAATTGCATGTAATTTATTGATACCTACTTGGGCATCCCACTTCTTCTGCATAAGATCACGGATGTAAGTTCTAATGCAAGCCTTGTAATCAGAGAAAGGAATGAGAAGTGGTGTCACAGATTTGTTGAGTGCTGCCTTAGCAGCAAGATCGGCCATTGTATTCCCAGAAATGCCAACGTGGCTGGGTAACCAACAGAAGATGATGTTTCAGGATTCTCCAAAATAGGTACCTGGATTTGTGGAAGTTCATCAGTTGTAGACGTTGTTTCAGGAGGCGTTGGGTTAGGCTGGTTTATTATGTGGGTAGGGGGAGGGATGGTAACACTTTTGGTGTGTAAAGGCTGCGCTCCTTCTGGTTCCTGTAATTATAGCAAATTATATAAGTATGATATATCTGTATTGCTCAATTGTTATAATTAAACAACCTTACATTTATTTATTACACATACATACCCCATACTTTTCTTGAAACATTGGGGTAGCCAAGTAGTTGTGAGCACCTCCACCTTCTGAGCACAGAATTCAAAATAGATTTTGGCCCCAGTCACTGTCACAAATTGTTGAATCTATAAAATTAATACTCATTTTCTTTCTGAGGACAAAACATGCTAAATATATTGGTTATTGTATGTTACAATGATAAATATATAAGTGTTGTGGGAATAGAATATAAATTCTTATTTAAAGTTCATTATTTTCCATGTAGATGCGGGAAACTGTATACAAGGAGATAGGAATCCATGACGTAGATTCCTTTTCCGCCATGACAACAAGGACTATGGCCCCCAAAATCATGGGATGGCGTTGTTTGTTGCGCTCCATGAACTATTTGGCTGACCCACTCAAAGATGGCATTCATACAGGTAATAGTATAAAGGATGATATGACCATTAATATAAGTAATTGTCAATATGGTTTATATGGTCCAAGTATGCGGTTAATATACGGTTAATAGATCTTACGTTGGAAGTCAATACAAATCATTAATAAAAAGTCTTTAGTTCATGATACATTTAGTAAATTTTGTCGCTTTTCATACAGGAAATGAAATTCATTAATGTTTTGTGAATTATAGGTCTTGATCCAACCATGGTTCTGGACAAGGAATTGGTTCACTGTGTGGATTTGTGTAAGCAAAACAGAGCTTTATACAGGTATAATAATATATTGGTTTTGGGTCAATGATACATTTACTTCAAATAAGCTAAAATAATAAGGAATGAAATATGTTGGAACATGTAATTACCATTGCATTTGCAGGTAATAATGGGACCCATTAAAGAAAGCAATAATGTAATGTGGTAATTTTCCTCATATTGAAATGTGTACCTTTATAGAAAAAGGATGATAGGCTGGTATAACTAAACAAATGCTCGGAAGGGATATATGTTGTATGGTGTTTACAGAAGTATGGCTTTGACTGGAGATTTCAGTCGTAGAGGAACGCCCTTGATTCGCATATACATCACACCAGAGGACAGGCAGGCGAAAAGAGTATAAAACCAAAGATGAACTGATCAGTTTGGTAGAGTTAAAGCTACAACAGAATGACGTAAGTTACTTAATAATGGTTGATAGATGAATGTTTTTATTGCATTACATACTGAATATTAATGTCAGTTTTTTGCCTTATGTAATTGCACCTATTGTGATTGTGATAGCTGCATTGATGGTGATGCATGTTAACAATGTAGTTACATGAAATGATTTCCATGAAAAAATAAGTTACAAAAAATTATTTCCTTACAAGATGGACAATGAGTGGAGTAAGAAGTGGAAGGATGTCAGACGGGGAAATAAGACCAGGATCCTCGATTTCATGAGTCAACTAGTGGAGGCAATTGAAGAGAAAAATGTATCTGAAGAAGGTAGGTTACGAATTTCTAATAAATACAAGTAAGTAAGTTAGCATGAAATTACGTTACACAAAATCAAACAAACCATTTTTATTAATGTGGCTTTTCTTTTGTGGAAGCTTTTGGAGCGGTCCGACGCATCTGTCATGTAGTTGTGCCCTCTGGGTCCAGTGTGATGGATACCCTTTTTTCGGGAGGGTGCTGTATCATCCCCTTTTGACCATTTCGCTCTTCTACTTTTCCCCAACAATTTGATTTTACTTTCCTGAATAATATGTCACACAACAGATTTCATAATTCAGTTTATACAGGTAAAATATCAATCAATATAATATGATATATCTGAGAATTCGTAGAGTATATTACGATCATTAGTAGAAATTACTTTTTCTATGGAATAACTTACTTATTAGTTGTGTGCACTTGTGTTTTGTGGTCTATGAAATGTATGTAATGTATAAAAAGCAATGAAATGTGTAAGAAATGGTATGCAACGTGATTTTTCAGCTTAAGAACCTATTTCGGTGTCATTGTTACATTGTGAAGTGTTTTGTAGCATAAAATCATCAATGTAATTGCATGAGTTATGTCCCTTGGCAAAAATGAAATATGTCCCTTTTGCCCTCCGTAGATTTGTGTACTTTGGGTGATGACGTTCAGTCAGCGGCCGCCATTACTGGATGCAACGAGGACGACGCATGGAGAGGTCCGTGGTGTGTTGCAGGGCATGAGGGCGATGTTTGAGGTGAAAATGTTTGCTGTATTGTCAATACTGATGAAACTAGGGCCATTTTTGATTCAGAATGATGTGATAGTGGTCGTGTTTAGCGATAGCGTAGCGTTGATGGAGGCAATGTGGGACTGTTGATGCATGCGGTATGGTTACATGGAATACAGTACTAAGCAAAAATAACCTCACTATACTGCGACGTTCCGTGTGAGCGCCGCGGATGGTGAAATTGCCGTTTTATGGGCTCGATGGGGCGCGTTTATTCATTTAGTTGGGGTGTAATACCCAGGATGGGTCCATATACACTAGATAGGGGGTATCCCTACCTGGTAAATAGCAAAAGGGAAATCCCAACGAAAGCGATTTTCACACCTTTTTTTAAAAGAGTTCCACCGGAAGTCTAAAAATAACTCGGATTCACCCAAGTGATCACATAGTTTGTCTTTTGAAATTAGCTAAGTTTCTGACTTAGTAGCTTTATGAATAGCAACTTAAGTCTCAGACTTAGCTAAGTCAGTTTTCAAAAACTTAAGTTTGGACTTTGGAAAAATCTTAGTTTCTTTATGAATACCGCCCCTGGACTCAGATGCTCAAGCGCCTCTTTCAACCTGTTACAGTGCAGACGGACTGTCGGCCCTCGCACGAACAACAGCCTGGAAGGCTTCCACAGTAGATTAAAAAAGGCATTCCTCATCACCATCCTAACATCTACCGATTTGTAGAGATCATCCAGATTATTGAGATCGCAGAGAGCGCCAAACTCCAGCAGATCAACGTTGGTGCTTGCTCCCCCAAAGAGGAAGAGTGTCTACAGGGAGCCTGAGAACAGGCTGATGCATCAGCAAGAGAGACTGCGTGCAGGAGGGATGACAAGCATAGAGTTTCTCGATGCAGTTGGGCATTTGCTCAGACTTGGTTGACATTCTTGCCTGTATAGTGAATGACGTCAAAGATGTGAAATCTTAAATTTTGAATGATTTAATTTAGATTATCTTGTTTAATTAATTTATTTAGTTTTTATGCCAATTAAAGTCATTACAAAGTCATCCATTGATCATTTAAATTATCTTGTTGAATTAACTTATTTTGTTGTATGTCAAATAAAGTCACTGTCATTATCCATAATCTCTTCGCTTTGTGTTTGGATTAGTACATTTGGAGTGAGGGACTTTCCAGCAACATCACGGCAGGGGACACCAGAAATGTGCTTCACACAATGTACCCATGTGGGGATTTGAACCCGGGTCTTCGGCGTGACGAGGCAACGCTTTAACCACTAGGCTACCCCACCGCCCCAGTACATTTGGACTAGTCCATTAATTAACGAAGGTAACAGTGTAGTTAACCATAACCTTTGTTGTTTTACCGCGTCTAACTTTTGGGACGTCTAACTTTTGGGAGGACACCGTCATTCTCATTCTACCCATTCTTTCCTTTCATCGATGATGCTTGATGTGTATACAATCTCAAACAGTTTCCCATGAAACTTATTTTATCGTTTCTATTAGAAGACAATTCTTTACACAGGTCAATAGCTAGAATATGTATCATTTTTATAGATATTATACAATTATAGACTCTTGTAGAGGTCGATATCGGTTTTTATTGACCTTAGTAGAACAATATCGACTGAGCTTGTTTTTCTCAGGTCAATAAAAACCGATATCGACCTCTACAAGAGTCTATAATTGTTTTATTATATAATGAAAGAGAAACGGGTTTTAACATAAACTTTTAATGCACACACTGTGCCATCTATCCGAGTGATCTGATTGGCTGAAAAGCGGGGGAAGCCCCTTCGTACGAGATTCCTTGTCTATTTTTAGTAAACCCAAGTCAATATCGTAATTTATCAGAAAACTCAAGTCAATATCGTGTTTTGTAGTCAATCATGTGACGGTCTCTTGACCAATCGTGGTACAGGAAAAATACTACCTATATAATAATGATATTTATGACATTTACATAACTTGTGATATGTGATTGATATTCTATATAGTCCTTGATGTCATATTTTCATGACTAGTTTTCAATTAGAAATTGATATTAACTGGATCTCGGCGCAAATAGTTGGAAAATTGCTGATGCGGCGTAAAGGCAATATTCATTCATTCATTCACTCATCAGTGTTATGGTTTCAAGCTGGTTGTACATCCATATCTGTGATGCTACTGTGCTTTGTCAGAAGAGTTATTTATAATCAAGCTTTATGTATCATTTATATATAACTTGTTATAGTCACGATACGGGTGAAATACCGCCGATGTGACTAAAATCGTAACACTTCACCGAGATGCTAGTAAAACGGCTTCGGTTCTGTTATAAACACGGACGCACAGCAGTTAAAAGGTGGCGTGATTCCAGAGCTCATGTACACCCTGGCACCAGAACTTCCTTGTATCTTGATTACAGAGCTCTGAATGAACACCAGACCACGGCACCAGAACTTCCTTGTATCTTGATTAGAGACCCAAGCCAACTGAATGAACTTATATGGCCAGACCACGAGTTAGTGAGTTAAAGTTTAACGTCACCTAGAGATTATTTCAGCCATATAGTGACGCGAAAGCTTTTCAATACACAATAAATATAAGTTCTTAAATAACCAGTCATCAAATTACTTAAAATAGTATCACAGATGATGTCTAAAACTAGCATTTAAATCTAAAACTATGTTATTTACCAAGACAATACAATAGTAAAATTTGGTAAGTTTAAATATTACTTTGAAAATGTTAGGACTTACGTACCGTTCAGGCCAGGATGTGTACTGTGTAAGTTAACATTTCTAAGCTATTATGAAACCTGTGACTCCATTCTAGTGTTCCTCCAACACAACGAAGATCTTTACCACGGGTTCACTTCCCTGTACATAAATTTCTGAGCTTTTACAAATTTGAACCTGAATGTTAATAAGATGTTTTAGTCAATCTCAATTTCCTGAAGTCCCGTGAAGACCCGGGTTCGAATTGGTCATAAACAACTCCATTCCTGTTATCAGATGCAAATGGTGGGATCGAGTGGGCACACACGCCGACCAGGTCGACATGTTATAAGTTGTTCAATGGTCACGACTAACTAACTAACTGAGTTTGGTTTTATGCCGCTTTTAGCAATATTCCAGCAACATCACGGCGGGGGACACCAGAAATGGGCTTCACACATTGTGCCCATGTGGGGATTCGAACCCGGGTCTTCGGCGTGACGTCCATATCATGCAGGTAGCAAAAGTAATGTAAGTCCCCATGGTCCCTAGTATGGTGATCTACCTTCAGTTGTTGGCGATCTATTGCCTATTTTTATTTTGTGCTGTCCCCTAAAGTTAAAATGTTTTAGATTTAATTACTAGTTTTACATGTATATCTGTGATATTCTAGTTGTTTTATTGTCCTTCGTCGGCAGGTTTTTATAATATCTGTATATATATTCTATTTAAATGTCAAATGTTCTCGTCACGATATGGCTGAAATATTGCCGATGTGACGTTAAATATTAACTCACTCACTCACTTCGGCGTGACGAGCCAACGCTTTAACCACTAGGCTACCCCACCGCCCCTCAACGGTCAAGATGGGAACATGGGTTGATGTACCCTCGATGTTTGTGTATGTTCCCTGAGCTGATAGATTTTTCTCTAATAAGAAAAAACATATTTAGAGTTATCTCCTTTCCATCGATTTGCATTCGCAATTCATCGGTAATTTCCGTACATCATACGTGATTCAATGTTATTCGAGATAAAGAATTACTACCATGAAGTACCAAATGAGTTCGGCATTCCCAACAGGGTACATAGAAAATGTTACTCGCTTGTAAGCGGGGTACATTGACAATAATAGGAGAGCGCTGAGCCAATCAGAAAGCGACATTTGTGTGTGAGGTAAGATAAGTCACCATATCCCAACTGTGAAGAGTGATGGT